AGCCCAACACGAGATCAGCAAGAATGGTCCATCCACGACGGTCACGCGGCAATGTCGTTTGGCCACCCGTTCATCCATGTCGTCGCTTGCACCTCGGCAGCACTTGCCCGTCGCGCCACAACGACGACAACGCACCACCAGGAGCGCGCGCGCGCCCCGCCCATGGCCCGCTTCATCGTGGCGCGTGTCAGTGAGAAAAGAAAAAAATTGAAGTCAAAAGCAAAGGGAAGGATATAGAGGCAAGAGGTTAATGCAGCAAAGTTTCAATTAATTGAAGCAGATCATGGCCATTCCAAGTAAAAAGATGCAGTCTATTCAACAGTTATTGAAGATACTAAAAGATGATGACATTCTGACATTCGGATCTGTGTTCTGTGCTTCTCAAAAGAGCTTTCTGTGCGAAAACTGTCGGGGCCGACTTGGGCTTTCGCCTCATTGGGGAGCAGGATCCTCGCACTTTCAAACACAAATTCCACAAGACGCCAATGCCCACGCCCTGGAAATGGACAAGGACCGGACGAGTACAGCCACTTGACAAACAAGTCGCGCGTATCGAAATCCTTCAATGTCATTTCCTTCAAGTTGTAGCCCATCCGCTGGGCCAGGTCGCGCAGCCCCTGATGACAGTCCGAATAAAGGAGGATACAGCTCAGGCCCGAATTCAGCCCCTGGGACTGCCTGCAACGGTGATCCCATGTATCCCATCCACGAATCTTCCTTGGCATTCCACAAGCGTAGCAACAGGCTCTGTCGGGGTATGCGAGGTGCACTGAACATTTTTTAAGTCTTGTCTCGTGTCCTTCGAAGTGACACCGCTCGCAACCACGATTAGATACGCATCGATGCCCGGCCTTCAGGACGGGTTTCGCCTGTCGAATGGTACATCGCATGCAGTAATCATCCATCAACTTCAGAACGCTAATAAACTTTTCAGCCGCCGCGTGGTGCATCAGATATTTTTTTTCTGTCCCCGATTTCGACCGAAATATTGGCGCGACGTTGTGTCGATTCGGTGGCGTAGCTGCAGCAGATATCGTGGCTTCAGAGCGAGTGGTAGCAGTAGCGGCAACGGTAGTGGTGCGCGTGCCACTCGATGCTGCTCGTTTTGCTGCGGGAAGAGGCGACTGCGCTGCCTGAGCCGTTGTGGAAGAAGCAGCAGCTGTGCACGTGACATCCGATGCCGTTCGCTTGGATGTTGAGGGAGCAGGGCTGGTAGCGATGCTGTTGCCATCGCCATGATCGTCAGACCCAGGGGTAGCAGCCAGCGGCACTCGCTTACGCCGCAGTGTACCCGAGGCTGAGCTTGCAGCCGATCGCGCCGGAGACGAGGTTGAACCCGAGGCCGATGGTACTGGCACGCAAATGATCGAGGCCGACGGGGTTGGCGCGTGTTTCGTGGGGGTTGGCTGTGCTGCTGACTGCATGACTGGCTGTGGCGTGTTCTCGCCCTCTGCCATCGTGGTTTGCACCGGGCCACGCGCCTCTTGCTGTAAAGGCGCCTCGTCATCAGCATCAGAGATCATGGGTGAAGCTGGCACCGACATGGATGCTGTAGCTGCCTCATCAATCCAAGCAGCACTCGTCTGTAACTGTGGCAC